TTTTTAGTGTTCATTGAATACATTCAGATTGCAGCTTTCGTAAGACTATAATTTATCAAAAGCACAAAGAGGAGTCACACAGGCCAAGTTTCTAGAGCTCACATGAAAGTTAGAGAATAGGTAGAATGAAAGTTTTAAGGTCTCTAAAAACAACGATGACATATTTTTCCCAGAGAGAACCTTTTTAGTTTGGGTGATATTTTTAGTGTTGCTTTTTTTCAACACAAATGTTGTGTTTTCCAAAGAAAGCAGACACCTCCTATAATAATGACAGCCAGCCTCTGAGTTTCTCATTGGAACAATTTCTATGAATTGTTTTGAACCAACCCGTGCGAGAAGCTGGGTACATTATTATGTGTTTATAAATAGGTCTGTTTTCACAAAACTCTTTCCCAAGGAAATTGCTCCCGATTAATATGAAGTATTTTCACTCATTACTTTCATTATAAAAAAGAGGGATCCCACATAGATCAGAGTCCTGTTATGCTAAGAGTTAATAAAGGGATAAGTCTTACTCTGAGAAAAACTCATCTTTTGGATTTGCTCCAGACCTCTGCAGTTCCTGATTGTCTTATGCCTACCTCCAAATGAATCAGCCCCATCACTGTGTTGAGTTCTTAACTACTCCTTTTATCACCATATTCCTGTGAGGAAAGGTAGCATTATTAACCCCATTTTACAGATGGGGACTTGTGGTGCAGAGAGGTGAAATGTCATGCTGATGGTAAACTGAACTAGAGCAGGGGGTGGATGCCTACTCTTCCCCTAAAAGCAACACCCTGCCCACTAGGCTTCCACATGGCTGGTGCTATGATAGTATTACTTCTTTATTCATTAATTTCCCATCATCCTGCCTATGAAAGAAAACTCACATTACTATCGTCAGGTAGTGAAACAAGGGAGCTAAAGCATTTAGCTAGTATAAGCACACAAAGGGTGAAAAATGGAAGTGAGTAAAAGTGAATGAAGAGAAAAAGTGAAGGGCAGGAGTAGCATGGCTGTCAAAAAGTAGTAGGAGGGTATGGAAAGGAAACTGAAGCTTCAAGCTGACCCATAAAACTCCGCAGTGTTACCAGCAACCTCACTGACTTCACCTTCAGAGACTGTGCTTTGCAATAACCTTCACTTGTCTCATTGACACCTGCCCACTCCAGTCCTGTGGCCAGCAAGAAACCCTCCCACCTCCTTTAATCACAGCCTTCCACACAAGGGTCTCTGCTGTCAGCCACCAGACTCTGCATGACTCATCCCCTCTGCATCTCTGCAGATACTTCCCTGAGCTTTCTCAGCTTGGCATGGCAAGAATAAAAGGCAAATAAATGTGGTTGCATGATGACAGGAATCAGATCTCCAGTTTTGGGATGAGATCCAGCATCTCTGTAGGAGAGTTCAGTACATGCTGTGCCTCCCTGCTCAGACCCGGCTGCCTGGGCAAGAGAAGGAGCCAGGGCAAGACAGAAAACACCACACCAAGCCCAAGCTCCCTCACTCCTTGTTCTATCAGTGCAAAGAATCCGCCAAACAAATTTCCCTCCACAAGGAAATGTAGTGCTAGCTTCATTATCAGGTTGGAAATCAAGACAGTTGTTAATTAAATGACTTTCCCAAATGTCATAATAAGAGCTGCAGATCAGATTTGCTTAACTCTCCTGAAAGCCAGTTGTCTTCAGTACACTGCTCCTCTCACCTTGTGCAGTTGCATCTGCAGTCATGGCGAGAGTTGGTCTGGGTCCACTGACCTCTTCAACATGACATCAGTGGAAAATTCAGTAAAAAACCTGTGGGGGTAGGAATCCTGTCCCCATAAATATTAGAAGAGGATGCACCTTGTTTAATGTCTTCACTGCCAGGAGTGGTCAATGAAGTTAGAATTCAATGAGAAATACACAAACTCAGCCTCAGAGTACAGAAGATGCCTGGTACAAAAATAAACATCAGCAGTCAGAAATTGTCCTCTAGACAACATCCCAAGGAATATGTTTCTTCAGGGTCTCAGTTTGCTATGAAGGCTGTGTGCTTTAAAGCAAAAGGTCTGCCCTACTTACTTCCTGAAGTTTGTCACTTCCTGATAGTTTTCCAACATAAATCCAAAGGATTTCTGATTGGCCTGTTGGTTAACAACTAGAAAGTAACCATATGATTATCCTTGTTATCTTTTCCTAATGCTACTGATAGTTGCTCGGTAGGTTCAGAAAGCAGACACTTCAGTGACTTTTTCTCATGAGCCAACTCTTCACTCAATGTCTAGAACTGCAGTAGTTGATTAGAGTGTATCCTGCATGCTGCTGCAAGCAGGAATTGGTTTGAGGGCTGGAGAGAACTAGTTTCTAGATAGTTGAATCGGCAGGATAATAAATTCATTAATTTTCTGGAAATGACTTATGGTTCAGTTACTACATTCACCTGCATTAGCCCAGTCTGGTTGTTTGTGAACTTCTGTAGGGGAGAGGAAAAAAAAATCACCATTTAGACTGGGAACAGTCAGTACCGGATGGCTCACAGGTGTGGCAACCAAATCACAAAGGCTATCGCCCCCCATGTGAAATTCATCCTCGCTGTATAGTGGCTATGAAGAGTAATGCACCAGTAAGTGCTCTGTGGTATTTGTATAGGTTACTGCCTGCACAGAAAAAAAACCAGGGAATATTCCATCTCTGACTCCTCTCAATCCTGAAAGGTGACAACTTTATGAAGGTGGGTTACTCATAATGATTCCACCTTGTGACAGTTTTCCTTCTATTAAGTGTAATGGAGGCTTTTCTATTTATGCTTCTATAGATTCAGGGGCTCTAGGCTGTGTCTGCAGGCAGCAAGTCTGGAGTGTTCCCCAAGATGGCAACGTTTTTTGAAATACAAAAGACATTTTTCATTTAAAGGCTGATTAGTTTGTGCTGATCACACACACAAAAATCTCTTTCCATTGGGCTTTGTGGGCCTTTTCCATTGCTTCATGTCATGGTGAAGCCACCAGTGGCTTGGTCACGAGGTGTGAGGTCTCAGGGAAGGACTGTGTGTGCAGCACAAAGGAAGCTTGGTTTAACCTGACTTTCACATGAGCCTTTTCTGCACCTCAGAGGTTTTGTCTATTCATTGATTTCAGTGTATTCAGTGGAAATGATACATCATTTTGTGAGATGAGCTGATTCAAGGCCTTTATGGCCATTAGTGCTGTCAGGCATGTGCCAGTGAAGCAGCTGGGGCTCTACCCAGGCTATTAGGATTAACATCAACTCAAGGGATAGGCTAAGCAGGCAGCCACCCAGGGGAGCAAGCTGCCAAGAGTGTGAAAACCATCACAGCCCTTCTGCCCACGCTGCCCAGAGACCACTATGAAGGCAAGGCTTGGTGCAAAGGGAGGCAGCAATAAAATCTGAGGTTGCCAGAGCACACCTCCCTCTTCCATACACCCAGGGCACAGACAAATTAGGTGCTGGCACTAGCTGCAAATTATCTGACGGTTCCAGCAACAACGTGGATTACACCACAGGGTTTGCTCTGTGCTCTTGGTAAATGCTATCTCCCTGCAGAAATGGACCATACTGAGCACAAAGGGGGAATGAGGCACTGGGACTACTTTCCTGCCCAGCATGGTCTGTTCCACACAGACACAGCTCTGAAAGCCAAAGCCAGAGGTTGGAGGAGGCAGGGACTCAGGGCTGGACAAGGGACACAACTGCCCCTCCAGCTGATCTCCCATCACCAGCTAACACAGGGATGCTGCTGTCTCCTTCTTATAGAGACATCAACAGCCTTTCTTTTCCTGCAGGCTGCTGGAGTTTGTAGCACTTGTGGAGTGGGGTGTGTGATAGTATTTTTCACTTGTAACACCTAGCAAATTATGGCATCAAAGAAAACAGAGCAGTGAGTGCTTGTTCAGTATTTGAGTTCCACTTGTCCCCCTGGCTGTTGGATGATTCTGGGCTCTGAGATGGAGCTGTATGAAAAGCCAGGAGGTGTCACACAGAGCCACTGCACAGACTTCAATCGGGAATGTTTTCAGCAAAAGAAAAATGTGTTAAACTCAGCCTTTCTCACAGTCTGACAGCTCCTGATGTTCATGTCAAGAAACGAATGAAAAAAATGTGCTCTCTCTGAAGAGAGATATAACCAAAGAATAATTAATGAGTAAGGGCTCATACAGCACGACTTGCCCCACTCCCCATGTAAAGAATGCTCAAGGACTTGGACTTTCGGCACCTGAAGACCCAAGATACTGATGCCCTTCCTGCCTTTTCCCTGAAAGAGTTTGTTTTAAATACATAATAAGCCTACTTGCAACACCACCATGCCCAGCTAGCAGCGCTGTTTGACTAACTGCACTGTGTCTATTAGAAGGGAAGTCAGGACTTTGCAGTGAAGTAGCTGCAGCTCAAATAGCAGTGTTCTGCTTATTAGAAATCAGTTCAATAAAGGAAGGAGTCACTGCCACTAATATCAGCAGGTACTTCCCATTGGCTTTTGTAGGTATGCTGTGACCTGTAGCAAAATAAGGCTATCACAGCCAACTCTTCTGCTTGTTTTAAAGGCTTTGCTACTCAAAAGAAAAACAGCAGGAAAATAAAGAATCTAAATGCATTTCAGGGAAAACTGCCAATGGAAGCTTCTCAACAAAACAAGCCAAAACTAATGTGAACAAGGAGCCAGCACTAGCAGTCCTTGGCATGAGATGGGAGAGATGGAGGAAAGATGCTCAAGTACTGCTGGGCTCACACAGGCCTGGTGGGAGGGAGAGAAAAGCAGCTGGGACCAATGCCAGGAAGGACAGTTCCCACCAACTCTCTCCTCCATCCCCTCTATAACAGCAGCCCCCACTGAACTCACGATTCTGCCAGCTCAGCTGCCCCAGGCACCACACGTGCACTCCCACATCTGCTACTGGCCTGAGGTCCTCTAGTGCAGGACACTGACAGCAGCACCATATGATATATGCATGGGCAAGCCAAGGTGTACCGCCTTGCCCCTTGGCATCAAACATCTGTGCAGGCACTCGATGTACATACCTGGCTGAAGGCAACCATGGCTTTCTCAAACCTTTGCTGAATAAGAGCGATGGTGCTGAACACCGGCGGGAAGGAACAGTCTTGAGGGGCTGAAAGCAAGAATGAGTTTGTTATCAGTTCCCATCCTCCAGCAAAGCTCCCACAAAGGTGAGGGATTTGAGCATTTATAGAAGTCATTGCTACAAAGTGTATATGGGAGGAGGATAAAGTCTGTTTGTGCTCCTAAATCCTGGATGCTGCCAAATTTCCCCTCAAGTGGCAAGGCTCCGACTCTCACAGTGGTTGGCACAACAGCTGCTGCCCCATAGAGCCAGCCAGGCTCAGCAGCACTGGCCAAGGCAGGTGCACAGTTGCAGCACTGTAGGCAAAGCCCTGGGGCCACCAGCTGAGGCACCCTGGTAGGTGTCTGCCTAAATTAGAGCAACCTCAGCACAACAGTGGCTGCTCAACCTGAGCTCCTTTTACGGGCAGTGGGGAGACATGGACACTTGCAGGGCACCATTCTTCCCTCCCCGCTTCTGCAGCCAGCCTGGGAGAAGAGTAGTCATGTCCTTTCCCAGAAGTGCTCATTTCTCTGCACTGACTCTGAAAGGCCTGTGGAGCAGATGGGATGGATACAGACCCCCACACTCTGTAATGCAAGGTGAGAGGAGGCTGCTGTTAGTGAGCCCAGCATGCAGAGGCAACCAAGTTGGTTTCAATAAGAAGTGGGTAAGCTGCCTCCTGCAAATCCATGGAGGAGCTCCCTGCCTCTTAAAGACCTAAAATCCCTGAAATCTGTGCTTTGGGACAGCAGGTTCTGTGTGGCTGCTCACTATCTGAACACAAGCATGAGTGCTAAGGAACAAGGCTATTTTAGGAACAAGTGACACAACAGAGGAGCATCAGAGTCAAGAAATGACTCCTTGCTGCCAAGTGTTGACATGAGGCCTATAAAGGGCAGGTTATCACCCTTTGGGGGATGCCTGTCTTATTAAAGTCATATTTACAGTATTTCTTTGAGATACTTGAAAAGCAGGGTGATATATTTACAGAGAACTTTCTGAACATTTGGCCTCATTTACTGAGCGGAAAAAGAATGATTAAAAACACCATCTGCTTTTTATTGAACTTTGTTTCAGATTCATCAGAATTTCAGCAGCTTTTACCTCTAACTCTCAATGTTTACTCCTGAAAGTTTGTTAGCAGCATACCATTCCGTGCGGTTTAAAATAGCAAACAAGCCTTGCTGCTGGGGTCTGCAAATCTTCTCTACCAAGATCTCACCAAGTCAGTGCAAACCAGCCCAGCACAAAGGGCAGGCACAGTGTCCTCCCTGAAGGTGTCAGAGATGAAGCCCTGTGAAGGATGATGGGGAGTCCATCTGGCTGAGACCACCCCTATGATGTCCCAGTCCATGTAACCGAAAATAGCAAATGCAGTTTCCCAGAGGACATGAGTGATGTTCCCAGTTGTTATTACCAAAAAAAAGTAAAGCAGCAGCAGCAGAAGTCACCTTGCTCTGGCTGCAGGGAAAGGTGCTGGTAGGCATGACCATGAAGCTGCAGCAGCACTGCTTTGAGATATTAGAAAACTACTTTCTGCTAGGAAGAGTGAAAGACAGGAGTGGCCTTGTGTATTTACTCCTGGTTTATACCAGTTTGACACTGGTATATTTAATCCCGTGGCCTCTCTGGATGTGGGAATTTGTGTGACAGAAGTAGGTGAGACTGCTTCATACCTGCAGAGGATCTGGTTTCTGAAGGCAATGCTTGTTCCTACCTGTACTATCATGGCCCTTTTTGCTGCCTACCTTTTACAAATATCTAAATTTACACAATCAGAAGTCAAAGAAATGAACACCGAAATTGCTTACTATGTACATGAGTCTTTTATCGGAGCAGCAGGTCTTTTCTTTGATAAGTGTTGACTCATTATTACCAGAAGTTCTTCTACACTCAGCTGCTCAACAGAAGGTTAGTACGTAACAAAGCCTGCGCTGCTCTCACAGCAGTCACTTCAGAGCTCATGGAGTTAAAAGTGTTTTGGGAAAAGGTTATTCTCCTAAGATGCTGTAGGGTGTTGTCCTCATGCTTGAGCCCATCGGGACTCTGGCTGGGGGTAGTCCTCCAGGTCCAGTTTAAAATAGCATTTGTGTGGAAGGCATGGTCTATCCATCACAGGTTTTGCAGTGTCAGAATAAAACACTAGCCTAGTGATACAGCAAGGGAAATATCTGCACCCTGCAGGGGAAGTGAGGATCAATCCTGACCCAGGCAGAGGCCCATTTTCTCCCCAGCTTACTCCCTTGTATCATGAGCACTGACCACATCAGCTTATAGAACTCTCAGTGTTGTCTGTCATCCTGCCTCCATTTAAACCCACAAGGACTGTGCAGTTCAGACTCCCAAACAAGATGCACATGGGAGGGCAGAAACTAGTTTCTTCATCTGGTGCAACATCTGCCATCACATGGCTCCAAAAGGTTGGCTGGGAACCTTTTCTGAATCTGCCTAGGATCAGCCAGGCACACTCTCTGCAGAGCAGGCACGAGCTGCTCAGGGAAACACAATCTTCCCAACTGCCACCCAGGGTGGGATGGGGGTTACAGGTGGTGGCAGCATGATGCTCATGGTGCCTGGATCAATATGCCACCAGGATGGCGAGGAAATAGTGCTGCACTGCAGGGAAGAATGGGTTTGTTCCTCTCCCCAAACCAGTGTAAAGCAAATTATTCCTATTGCTGTTATTCCTGTTGTTCTAGAGTTGCCACAATTTCATCTATTAAGTGCATATAGCCAAGATTAAATGAGCTATATATTTCAAGTTACATATATACACACACGCACATTTTGACACCAGTGAAAATATCATACCTGATGTACCTCCTCACACTCCAAATACAAGGGATTTATTATTTGATTTATTGAACCAAATAATGTTATGTCATGAAGAAACACTTTATTGCCAAGTGTTGCCACTACTTTGGTGGAAAAAAACTAAGTGTGATTTTTATTGAAAAACTGCAGCAGGTGCAGAGAAGACAAATTAACTTTGCCCTGTGCTCCAAGAGCTGGGAGAATTTGATCACATTTCTGTCAGTATTGACTATCAGTTACATCATACTTTCTCTCTTCAGGGTTTTTTCCTCCACTTAACAGAAATCTCTGCTTGCTTCATGAAGGATATCACAGTTTCTGCCGCAAGTTTAACTCCAGCCCTTCTTACTCTAGCCTGTGACCTGCTCTCATTCTGAGGCACACAGCAGATAACACAAGGATGGCACCTGCAGATGGTAGAATTTCAGAAGCACTCCATGGGAGCCATTTGCTTAAGGAAATCACCTACATGCACCACACAAGGGCTTCATCCCAGACACCTACAAGGAGAGCTGCCCAAAGACTCAACCATAACCAAAAAACCAGGAGGGAAAGTCTAAAAAATATCCCACTTCTCTGCAGGCTGTGGTGGGATATAGGTTACTGAGAGTGCTGAACAATGCTGGCACCAAATTATTTCCTTTTTGAAACTGGCAGAGAAGTCAAATCTCCTTTCTACTTCACCAAAAAAACCCTGAAAATGCAGAATTCAGTCATTCTTCCTCAGATGAGCTAACTACACCCTGCTGGTTTATAGGAGCAAATGCATTGCTTGTTTTTACTCATTCAAAAAGCCACTGGAAGAGTGTAAATAGGGACATGATTTTGCCATCTGAAGAGACTTTTAGGTGGCCAGATTCTTCAGCAAGCAAAAGCCAGCACTAGCTGAAAACTAATCCCATTTCTAAAACCTTGGACTTTTGTTTCTTTGTGACTTTAAGAAATGCCCTCCCATCTCAAAAGATACTTCTACAATCCTTAAGGACAAACTAAAAGCCTCTCTGCCCCCTTCACCACAGTAGGTGAGAGTCTTTGTGAAAACAGCAAACTTCTGTTCTTCCTTCTTCTCCTGAAAAAATCCATCACTGGCAGAAACACAGATATTTCACACAGTTCACATTAAGTAGTCACTTAAACCAAACTGCATGAGACACCAGAAGCAGAAGCAGGGAGGGAAGCCCAGGAAGTTTCCAGGAGGTGTACTGGCAGGTAAACCTGCCTTCCTCAACCAGCTTTTCCCAGGGTACACAATGAAATTCCCAGGGACTTTCATTTTCCTGGCCACATCTTGCATGTGCACATGCAGAGGAGGCTGGGGGAGGGGCAGTTGTGACCACCCCAGCACATCAGACCACCAAAAAGGGAAGAAAAAGGGGCTCCTGAGGGCACTGAGTCATTAAATGAGCTTTTGCCTGATTCTCTTCCCAATTTTGTCTCTCGCTTGAGGTCAGCAGCAAGGGGGGACAAGAAGCATGGAAGTGCTGCACTGCCAAACCACACCACAGGCAGATGCTGCTGGTTTCATGGCTTAGGCTGTGCCTGTGGTAGCCAGTGCTGCTAATCCTGAGGCAGGGCTCTGCTCCCCACTGGGAACAGCCCAGGATGTTGCTGCTTCAAAGAGGGCAGTGGTGGAGCAGGGCAGTGCTACTTGGCATGGGCCAAAGCAGGTGTCAGGGTTGGCTTTAACAGTTTATGTGTGATATTCTAATTTTATAATGATTATAGATAATTATGCTGCATTGCCAGGGAGGACTCTCAAGTGCTTCTTACCTATTAGTGCAGGCAAACCCTGACTAGTGCATGCCCTGGCTGTTTCTACAGTCAGTCTCACTAGCTGACATTTCAGATGGGCAGCCCTTTGTAAGTATTTCCCAGTGGCACACAGATAGGTGGCATTGTCCATCTCCTTTGTCCTTCATGGACCAGGGCATGAACCCTCTGGGATCTGTTGGGTGCTCTGCTGCCCCACTGCACCCAGCAAGAGCTGCCCTGCAGATACTCCCTTAGGTGAGGGGTTGGTTTAGCTCAATCAGGCAGGCTGGGAAAGAAATTACAAATTTACATAATAGGAGGATTTCTGGTCTCAGTTATATCAACATGGGCAGAGAGTGGTCTCTCTGAAATCAGCAGCAGTACTCAATTTAAACTAGCCATCCCAAGGTGTGGGTCCAGGCTTATGTAGAATAAATCAAACTGGAATTTGCCTTTGTCTGGTCTATTAAAACTCTTTTCCTACGTTGTGGCACTAACATCACTTGAGTCAATGCACTTATTCTGGACTTCTAACAACACAATAATAAACAGATTTTTATCTAAATAGGTTTAAAAGCTGACAGCCTGGTTATGGGGACTGATGAGATTTTCTTTATTGACTGTGCAATCAGTGTGATTTAGAGCCTCCACAGGGGCCTTGCTGAAGGCTCTCCAAGACCCAGCTGTGACCCTTCCCCCCCAGCTTCTGCTGGGCATTGCTGCTGGAGACAGCAGTGGTGGTACTGGGATGTTGTTCTCCCCCTCATCTTCCCACCCTCCTGATCCTGCCTTCCTGGTGTCCTGACCTCCCACAGGGCCAGTTATTTGTCTGGCATCACACCCCTGCTTTCCAAGGTAATAAATTACTGCAGGAAGCAGCTTTGCAGTGGACCTCATTAACCGCAAACACTGTCGTCCCTTTTTCTGCCACACCACGCAAGCCAGACATCCATGACTGTCTGCTGTAGATATGCATTTCTCAAGCTCCCAGGAGGACCCAGAGGTCTGTGGCAGATGGTGCACTGCACTGATGTATACCCAGGATTGTGGAACTGAGTCACCCTTCTTGCCTCATGGGATCATGTCCCAGCACAGCCTGAACTTCCTTGTGATGCTCCGTTCCTGTGCCAATGCAAGGGGTTTGTGGACATTGTTAATACCAGAAACAGTGGGATGTAAGGTGAAGAGCCTTATTTGGTACTGACTTGTTCCATTTTCAGAGACTGCTGGTATTCTGAGAAAGCACCAGGCTTAAGTAAAATAGATCTATAAAACTAGAAGTGAAGCATCAAAGTGCAGTAAGACGAATCCACCCTCATGCTATGGGTGGGAGTACTGGGGCTGTATTATGTCTAAAGAAAGTAGCAATTTTTTTCAATGTATATTGAAAGGTTACTTTTGAAAAAAGTTAAGTAAAAATTGATCTTGGGGCAGCCAGCATCCCAACTTTCTTCGCTAAATAATCACCTACTATTTTCTTTTTTTTAATCTCTACTTTCTCACCAGAAACAGAAAAATCAAAAGAGATTACAAAGAAAGAAATGGGAAGAAGAGAGAGAAAAATATGCATATCTGAAATTTTCAATTTTTTACAGTGTTTCTACAGACAACTTTGAAGAAAATGTAACTGTTAATTGTTTCTCTTATTTCCTCTTAACTCTTTTTTTTTAAGTAAGTGCTTTCTCATTGGAAAATAATCCATTTCTGCCATCAGCCTTAGTTTTGAAGAGTAGGAGGTACAATGGAAAACCAGATCAGTTATCACATAAAATACTCTTCCAGGCTTTATATTTGGAAGCTCTGAAGCTTCTAGTTATCATCCATGCATCTCTGTGTAAGGGATCCATGCAGAAAGCCCCTGCCAATAATCTCATTTTTAGCAGAAAAATCTATTTATCAAAGCTGATAATGCCATGAAGAAATGCCATAGCTCAGTGCAGAGATTCAGTCCTCTGCAGTTTTCTTTTTGTTTCCCAGCCAGCCCAGCCAGCACCTTGCTCCTGTCTGAGGTCAGACTAAATGATGTAATGGTCCCTTCTGGTCTTGAAATCGATGGGTGGTGGCCGGGGCCTTTCTCCCTATTGACTGGAGCGATCGCTGCAGCTGAGACACCCCGGGGGACCAGGCTTTGGTCCTGGGCTCATACCAGACTACCAGGTGCTGTGGGACAGAGTTCACAGCATGCACTAATGTGAAACGTGTCTCTTGCAATGATGTTAAACCTCTCCATAAGAAGAAGAAAGAGAAGAAGAACAACAACACAAACCCACAATCCTTTTTAACTCTCTCTCACACAGATATAGCCAAGAACCTCCCCGGTTTTATTTTAACCAATGTCCATTTACTCGTGGGTGAGGGTTTTGTTTGTTCTGTTTTTCAGGACTCTGCCGCCCTAACACGGTACCAGAGCAATCTGACGGTGCAGTGATATCGTCAAGCAGTCTCTAAATTCCATCTCTGGCAAGCAGCTAGGAACTGCACATCGACCTGGCCCCTGCTCGTCTGACCCTGACACCACCCGGCTCCCGCGGTCCCATTCTCGGGATAAGGAGAGCTCTGCCCTACGGGGCTGAGAGCACGAACCGGCGGAGCCCAGCAGTCCGGCACCGGCCCAGTGCCGTGGGAGGCGCGTCGCCAGAGTGGTACGAGGGAAGTCTCGGAGTTCGCTTGTTACCAGATTCAGGACCAGGCTCAGATCCCTGGCAGTTCCTCAGCTGCCTCTATCCGCAAATCACCTGCGCCGGCAGCAGCCAGCATCGTCCCTAACACCCGTGAAGGAGGGGGGCTGCCCCGCGCCGCACCCCCGCCCCGCCGCCCCCCGCACTCACCGCCTCGGGCGCGGGGCCGCCGCCTGCCCGCGGCCCTGGCATCGCTCCGGGAGGGGCTGCAGGAGCCCTGGGCGGTGGGTCCGGGTCCGCCTCGGGCGCGGAGCCGGAGAGAGTGAGCGGAGACCCCGGCGCCGGCCGCCCCCAGCCCTCCCCGCCGAGGGAGGAGCCGCTCCCTCCCGCAGCAGACCCCGGGGGTCTGCCGGCATGCCGACCGGGCCGCTGGCAGGGACGGGCCTGCCGGGAGAGGGGAGCCCAAAAATCGATAGGCGCAGCGAGAAATGAAGCGAAAAGCGAAAAGTGACTCTCGAAGAAAAAAGCCTTCACGGCTTCTTCACAGCCAAGTCTTCACAGCCAAGCCCTCCCCTGCCAGGATCATCACCGAGGCGACGTGGTGGGTATGAATGTAACACCGTAGGGTGTCAGAAATAACGAGCACCACTGCTGGAGTACTTGCAGCCTAAATTTGTGCCCATCGGGCATGCAGGAACGAGGGATGGGGCCAAGCCACTTAAGGGGTAGGGGTCTGTATCACCATTGGCCTGGAGGTATAGACTCTGTAATGCATTCATCATCCATGCAAGTGTCCACTTCGGTCTGGAAAACACATCCTCAGAGTAGTCCTGGGTACAGGTTTGGGGAATCACCCTTTAAAGTCTAGTAAGAATTGCACAGAGCTCTTACATAACTGGGATTGACTTTCTACTACCCAACACTTTCCATCTTCTTATTGAAATCTAAGTTATCCAAGCACTGGAAAGCTTTATCAGTTCAAAGCGGATTATTTTTCTATAGACTTGCCTGTACTTAACCAGCATGTTTTACAAGTGACCTGCTCTCACTGAGTTGTGCTACTTGGCAGCTAAAGTTGAAGGATTTGTTTCAAGTAATGATGGGACATCAGCTCTTGCAGTCTGGATTATGGTATTTTTGCTAGGAAAAAAAAGCATAGGAACTGCTTTGTCCCATGAGAAGGACAAATGTCCTGTCAAATGTGGGATGGTTACTAAGAGCTCCAGTGTGTCCTTGAGGAGTGGGAGGGATGAATTTTCACATCCCTGACTGTCCGCAATGCACTCCTAAGGGGAAAAAAACCCCAAACAGCAAAATATAGCACCTTTCAGAACCACTCAGACCCCTTGAAAGGACAGGTGGATACAGACTCCCACATAAGTTGCATTGAATGACAGCAATTCTGCCCCTGCTTGTGTACAGTCAGCAACTGCAAACCAGGTACCTAGCTCTGCCAGCATTATCCTCCCTTTTCTGGCTCTGAGTGATCCAGGGATTTCTGGAGGGCTTTTTCATTTGTTTGGGTTTTTTCCTCTTGTATTTTTTCAGCTTTATTGCTGAGTGCATCACTTGTGTAAAATACTAACAAAACTTCTCTCTGAGCTGCTGGGTTCTCTCTGTGACATCCTCTGGCAGCCTGCAGAAATCAACAGGGAAGTTATACGAGATTTGGCATCATCAGTGCAACTATTGTGAAGGCTCAGTTAAGCCCTCCAGGACATGAATGCAGGCCAGCTTTTCTGGAAGTTGCAATACGTTCCCAGACAGCATGATCAGGAGTGATTGATTTCTACATTTACAAATGTGTTTATTATTTGATATTAGCTAAAACTGGACAGTTTTGAGACAGACTGTTGCTTTGCTGCTTAGGTCACAAATGTTTTCTGGATTGCTGCAAAGGGAAGAAATTTTTTCTAAGCTCACACAGTGTCTTGGCCAGGACCTTTCTGCATGTAAAATACTGGATAATTTCAAAAGGGGACGACTGAAGACTACAGTGAAAGAAAGAAAATGAAAATCAGAATTGCAAACGGGGTCATCTTATTTCTTAGAATTCATACTTCTGTTTGATGCTTATGCTAAAAACCAAACCAAACCAAAACAAACAAAAAAACCCACGAAAAACCACCCATGTTTTGATCTGCACAAAGCCTCACATGTGTTAGCAGTGTAAGGTTAACTGGGATGCCTAATTAAAACCATCAGTTGCCAATTAACATAATAAAAAATTGCTATTTGAAATTCATAACAGACTGAGAAGTTAAAGAGACACTTATCCAAGAGCTTAGCAGGTTTTCATTTGCAGATACTTAAGAAAAAAAAAAGGTGAAGACGCACTCTGGAACATAGCCCAGCAAAATAAGAGAGGAGTCTGCAAGCTCCTGTGACACTTCATTACTAACGTGCCTGCTGCTAGCCAGCCCATTTGCTTTTGCACTCCATCTGCCACATCTTGTACATACTGAGATCCAGGCTCTGGTACCATCGCTTCTGTTGACAATTATCCCTCAGGTGTTGCTAACAGCACTGCTCGGACCACCTGAACAGTGCAGGACCTGTGCCAGCACCTGGGTTTTCCTTGGGGCAGGGACAGCATTTCACTGACATTCAGTCAACACTGCTTGGTCTTACTCCTTGGAAGCTCTGTGGAATACAGTAATAATAATAATTAGTTCAAGGAATTGATGTCAACTCTCCAACCTGAAGTTTTCTTTCGCATTCATTTGCATCATCTGTAAAGCTGACTTGGTCTTCTTTGCCTGCTGTTACTAAGTGAATTAGCTCAGAGGACAACATATGTATGTTCAGGCATATAAACAAATGTACAAAGTCTGTGAGTATGTATGTGCACGGGAGTGTGGTGGGTTAACCTTGGCTGGCTGCCAGATGCTTTTCCACTTCCCCTCCTCAGCAGGACGGGGGGGGGGAAATGAGATTTAAAAGAAAACCTCATGAGTCTTTCTAATCACTCCTTGGCCCTCCAACTGATGAATCGTGGATGGGAACTGGGGAGTCTTGGTTGCTGTATATTGCCAATGGTGCACCATCGTTGTACCCATGGGCACCTGCTGTTCTTTGACATGCAGCAACCCCGTAACAGAGGCATCCTCCAGGAGGCTGGGCAAGGCAGGAAGCTACTTAAAAGATGGCAACTACATCAAAAGCCCATCACTGCCATTTTGGGTCCTTGAAGTACCCTCTCCTCAGACAGTCTATGCCAAGGATATATGGAGCCTCTGGGCTGGTCACAATGCGGTACTTTTGCCATTTGTCTCCTGTTAAGCTCACCTCCAATACAGACAGCTGTTGGGATTCCCCTGTCAATCAAGAAATTCAGATGGGTTCCTCCCTGATGTACTGTAATGGCATTAGGCTACACTGTGCACCAGTGTCTACCAAAGCTTTAGACTTCTGCGAGTCCAGTGTGCCAGGTCATCAAATCCACACAGTCCAGTAAAGCCAGTCATTCACTTTCCTCCTGCTGACCAAAGGCAGTGACCCTCTGTTCCAGGTTGGAGACCCTTTCAGCATCAGACCAGAAGTCCCTTCACCAAAACCAAGGGAGACAGCCTTAGTCCTCTTCTGTACCTGGTAGATTGCTGGTTGCCTTCCACCATCTCAACAGCGGCTGAACTGACAGCTGTCTTGGATGGCCCTCCTGATCAGCTGCCTTCCCTCTTCCCCCTCAATTTGTGTACATGGGCTCCTAACTCATAGGAGGCTCATAATCTCATTTCCTCATGTCCCCTGCCCAGTCACACAGGAGGAACCAGGGAGTGGCACACAGTGTGTGTCTGGGCACCTCTGACAGTCAAGATGCTGGCCTGTGGGGACAAGGAGAGAGACAGGTTTTCTTCGAAAGTCAGATCCAATGGGTCACTCTCCGCAGCTGGTATATCAGAGTCTAGTCAGTCCATCGTCTCCAGGTGGCTGGAATATAATGCTGGTGAATTTCAGACAACCCTTCTAGTACTTGCTCATGTACACTGGACATCAGGATCTTTGGAGACATGGTTGTCATACAGGTCACTGTAGAAGGCTTTCCAGCACTGCTAACTCTCTCAGATGTTGTATGCCTTCTTCAGCAGTAGCGGCAGCAACCTGCTCTCCTGGCTGGTGGCTATAACATTGCAGCATATCTTGAAGTTTGCCAAAGGTTAGGGACCCACTTTTTCCACCTCTCGGTGATTTCTTTTACTTCCTCCTTTTGATTCCTTGCTGAAGGAGCAGCTTCCTGATCAGACCATTCCTCCTCCTGCTCCTGTACTAATTGATCATATGGACTCATTGACCTCTGCATCCGGTGCTTCTTTTTGACTAAGGCAATTACTGTAGTTAGGGTTTTGGTCCCTGTCTTATCCATGATGTTCCCAGATGTGGTTTGGGTCCCTGTCTCAACCATGTTCCCTTGACAGTGCTGAAGGGAGGCTCAAGAAACACAAGAAAAGCCCTAGGGAAGTGCTAAGAGCTTCTGGGTTTCACTGGGGCAGGCAAGGCACCCCTCCACCAAGTAGTGCACCAATTGAATGGGATTACATGCCTGTAGAGGTGCAACATCACAGGCTGTGGGAGGTGATAACCCAGGCACCCGCCCAAGTCCTCCCACATACCCTGCAAGCCAGGGATTGATGGCCTAAGGGCACATTTCCTTGTCACCTCACTGACAAAGTCTTTCCTCATAACATCAGACTAAAATCAGTTTCTATGCAAATGACAAAAAGATTACATTAATCAAGTGGCTTAGACAGGGATTTGGTGAGGACCTCTGAAGATGAAGGCAGACACATCAGCCCTAGAGGGGAAGAGAGAGATGCAATCCCTCAGCTCTCTGCGGGACAGGCCTCCTGGCACAGGGAGGGTACCTGTGCTAGGGCCAAGCACATGGCTGCTGCTTTTATCAGAATGTTTGCAGGCACAGCAAAACACAGAGATAAGCACTGCAGCAAAGACAGGAGCTGAAAGCAGCCACTGCAGAGCCCTAGGCTCTGTTATGCTGTAAATCAAACGAGCCCTGTGAGCCACGCAGAAGCCTGCCAATTATCAGCTGCCACAGCTATAGTATGCCCAGATCAAAACTGGTGTTATCTCATGCCCCATGTTGGGTGGCAAGAAAAAGGACTAGTGGGTAGATCTTGGCTGGCTGCCAGACATCTCTCTGGATGCTTTCTCATTCCTTCTCCTCAATAGGACAGGGGGAGAAAATAAGATTTAAAATACCCTCAAGGGTCAAGATAAAGACAGTTTAATATGAAAAGCAAAAGCTGTGCATGCAACCAAAGCATAAAGAGAAATTCATTCCTTGCTTCCCATCATCAGGCAGATGTCCAACCACTCCCTGGGAAGCAGAGCATAAGCATGTGTAATGGTGGCTTGGGAAGACAAACACCATAATCCTTCTTTCCTTGAGATTTTATTTAAAAAGATGCGCAGCCTCTCATTTGTGTGCTGGTTGCTCTGTGGGTTGGATCAGAGGGCTGCAAAGTGTGATGATCTGAATCCTTGACAAGGACCATGCAGTGAATGAGAGTCTTACTTCATGTGTGTGCTGAGGGCGGGGTGGTGTGCCTCTGCAGCTCAGGGGTTCTCTGCTCAGGAGATTTAGCAACGAAGACCACCTGGCTCTTGCATTGGGCCACACAATCACTTTGCACCCAGGACAAATGTTGACTGCAGGGCTGGTAGCTGGCAGCATGCAGTGTGGTTGAGGCAATCTGTGCCCAGGTGGGTTTGTTCAGTCATCCAGATGTTCTTGAGGGACTCTCTTGGTGTCTATTTCCAAGCTCAGAGTTCATGTCATCCCCAGATGGACATTTTTGTTCATGTCAGCTAACAAGGTAGAGGCATGTCATAGATCACACATACCTGCAGCCGCTGCGCATAGGTCAAGCATTGCAAATGCGGTGGATCTGAGTATGCCAGGACATTGTACAACAACTGTTCAGGAACTGTATCTTCAAGGGTTGGTACACTTTGGAAAAGAGGCACATCTGCATCCTTTTCTTATCCCCAGCCCTGACTAGCAAGAGCTGCTTGCAAGAGAGTCCAGGTCCATGGTCTGAAGGAAAACAGGTATCAGGCAGTGTGGGATGAGGTAGTGTTTGTCCCTTTAGGCCAAAGAGCACCAGAGGAATTACTTATCCTGAGCAGAGAGACAGCAGGAATGCATTCCTTCTGAAAACATTGCTCTAAGTACATTGCATAATGTTTGCTGAGCACTCCCTCCAGGTTTCCATGAAGAGAAAACTCCAGTGTTTTATGCAGGCAGCTATTTAGCTGGGGAGCGGGGTAGTAGCGGTGTCAGGAGCCGGGAGCTCTGCTCTTGGGAAAGCAGCCAGAGGGGCTGGAGGGAATGAATCGCCAATCACAGTTCTGGGACTGCAGACTAAGTGAGTTTAATGCAGTGTGCAAACAGAACAAGGCTGCTCCCTACACAGGGTTTGGTAATGAGCCCACGATAATCTGTGCTTTTTGAGGCACAGCATGCATTTTCCAGGTGGCTGTTGAGTGTTTCATTTGGTTTTACACATCCTGCTCTATGTGTAATTGGCATTTGTGTCTCTGTATTCAATTTCAGAAGTGAAGCAGTAGCAAGAAAGGGGTGTTCTGTCATTTCCATTTAACTGTGGGACTAGATTTCACATAGACAATGTCCCTGGACATGTTTTCAAAGCAGCCAGGAGCTTAAGTACTTCCAAAAATTTCCCTAGGTTTTTTGGAGCCCATGTGGGATGCAAACTTTTTGGAAGATTTGCTCCAGAGAATAACTTCTGGCTTTCAGTGGTTTGACTCTGCTACATCCTTTTTCCTCATGAATATTCCAGGAAGATTTCTGTGAGAACCACAAACAGAAAGCAGAAATTCAGCATCCTGCCTATCTGTGTGCTAAAGCCTCTGCTTCACTCTCACAAAGTGTGTGGCAGCTGTGCTGCACAATTTTTCCCACCTCCAGCTGAGGCATCTCCTAATGGCAGTGGAAAGCTAAAACACCAAATCCTGGCAAGGAGGTGACAAGAGTTACTTACTGGGACATCCAAAAAGGTGTTTGAATATAGACAGGAAAATGTATTTTTTCCTCCAATCTCATTCAAATGACAGACTGAAACAGCTCTGCTGAACTTTTTGAAAGCTGAGGTATGCTGTGGAAACACTGAGCAGCTGCAGTTAGAAAGCCCTGAAATCCAGGATCCTGGTTTGGACTGAGTAGAGGACATGTTCATGTCAGAGGCATTGGACTAGATATTCTTTAAAGGTCCCTTCCAACCCAAACCATTCTGAGTCTCTGGTGCTCTTACTGTGGACTGTGTAGGGTGACCCTAGATTTTGGATCCTCACATTATAAGTATGACCAGATTTTGCAAAAGGTCGATGCCTTTGGGGTTTAGCAGAGGAGGGAAGTTCAGACGGGTGTCACTAGTGCAGGGTGTGCAATGTGCAATAGGTGACGTCAGTAGTGTCTTTCTACCTGTTTCTACAGCCCGATTGCTCTTGGCTGTCCTGCCCTCTAGTGCCTGCTGTGTCAGCTTACCGTCCCCTTGCACCCACGTGTACACACACACTCAGGGGATGATGCTGGGGCTCTGGGTAGGACCGGGAGCTGGAAACCCCCAGGGCCTCCTCTGTGCAACCATGAGCACAGAGCCAAACTGGAGAGCCCTGTGGGGAGGCGAAAGGCTTCTTAACAAAGCCACAGGCTGGGCAGGCTTCTTATCAAACACAAAGTCAAAACTGTTTCCTTCCAGCTGACACATTCAGGACTGCAATTTTCCTCAGTCCTCAAAAAACCTGCAGTTGACAACTTCTGCAGCAGCCAAGGACCCTGTAGTGCCCAAGCCCCAGCTGTGCAGACCCATGTGCAGACAGCAGCTGTGTGCCAGTCCCCATGCCCTGGGGAGCAGCAGCCCCTCTGGAAACTTCGACTGACCCACACCCAACTACCACCTTCATTCTGGGTCTCCTCAGCTATGGGGTGATGGATGAAGTAACCATAGTAACTTTTTCTAAAGTATCTTGAGGGTCTGAATGACTTTTGCACTTGGGACTTAGTGGTGGCAGCCCACAGGCTTTTTGAAGACATGTCCTTATCCCTCTCCATATTCCTGTTCCCTGGGTTCATCCAGCCCTGGCTTGCACAGTCCTGCTTCAGCTACATGTCTCGGAGTCCTTTGTGACCCTCCCAGTGAGACTCTTTTCCCACCCTTGACACTTACACTCGATTTTGTCTGGGACAGACTCCAATGGTTGTTGCCCTACAAAATGGCTATTGTACAAGGAGGGCAGAGGCTGCAGTGTCTCAGCTAGCGTCATAGTGCTGTGGGACTGTCACTGACAGGGAGCCTTCACATCTGCTGGCAGTGAAGCTGGGCACGTGGAGACCACCACCGTGTTTTGCTCTTTAGAAGGAGCAGAAGTAGAGGCTGACTGGTACTGCTTTGAAACCTGCACAGCACAACCACAGGCTTTCACCTGCTTTTGAGAAGCTTCCAGTGGCAGCTCCTGATGTCATCCCATCTACTCAAGGACATGGGCTGCTGCAATGCTGCCTTTCAATCAAGACCTTGTAATTCAAGATCTTAGAATTAACCACACCCTCAGCTGTGGTTGGGGATTTCTGAATGATACAGTGAGCACACACACGCCTCTTTCTGAAGGAAGGTTGTCAGTCTGAGTTTAATTGAGTCATGCTCAAATAGAGAAGCAGAAGCCACTGCACCATCATTTAATGTCACATTTTGTTTCTGTTCCTGCAGGGTGGCTGACAAACTGCCTAAACCAAACCTTGTCTTGCTCAAGCACTTGCTCTCTCTCCTCCACCACATCAGCCAAAACGCCGAGACCAACAGGATGGACTCCAGCAACCTGGCCATCTGTGTTGGCCCAAATATGCTGAGCCCAGAGACGGACAGCACGCTCCCACTGGAAGTACAGAAGGAGATGAATGACAAGGTATCTTGAACTCACCAAGAAACCACTCCCTTTGGGGCAGCTCAGAACCATCCATAGGAATCCCACTGCGATCGCAAAAGCTCAACAGAACAGCACTCCTGGATATCAGGGATGGCCCTCAGCCTGCGATGTGATGGGCCAGACTGCCCCTCATTTTGCCTCCTCTGAGCAAAAGCAGCAGCTGCCCCACAGTCCCCTAAGTCCCAGCACAGTTCCTGGACACTTTGCATGCAGAGGGCAAGAGGCACACAGTGAGCACTATCACTCATGGGCCCTCTGGGCAGCGAGGCCAAAGCTGTGGCTGATGGCATTTTGTTTGTATTGGGGCAAATTCATCTGTCTGCAGCACCAGGCAGGAAAGACTGTTCAATATGTGTTCTTCCCTTTTGACTGAAATGAGCTGTTTTCTGTGTGCAGGTGACAGTGTTGGTGGAGTTCCTCATAAACAACTGCTCAGAAATATTTGAGGAGGACATTGCTTTCCCTGTCTGTGCCTCAGCTGAGGAGTCACCAGAGCACACAGACAGCTCCACAGGTATGAGAATGCACTGGGGATGTCACAGACTGGGGCTGCTGGGCTGAATTCTTTAATTTGATATGTGAATATATCTGTGGAAACCCAGAGATTTGCTGACAGTTCAATATATTAATGCAGTATTTTTCTACAGGAACACTTTCCTGAAGTTCAAATGACAACACTCACAAAACAGAATTATATCCCAATGTTAAACACCTGCCTTAAGCACATTTTGCTACAGATGTGCAGCTACCTCAAGGATCTTTCTGGCAGGCTTGAAACAGCATCATTCTCCCAACCTAATAGGTCCAGGCATCTCTATTTTGCCACTGCTTCTCAGAAGGAACAAGAAAAGAAAGACACATTTTCAGCATAGCTGATATGTTATCTATGTCCTTTTTTACACTTTCCTTATCAAAGTTAACTGCTCCGAGAGCTGTTTGTTCTTCAAGGTGAGCTGATACCGTAAAGTCTAGATGCTGGGTTCAGAAATCTGTGCCACGAAACATCCTATAAGGACCCATTTTCAAAAAGAGTCACAGACATTACAGAGAACATGGCATTAGAGCATTCATGGATGCCTGGTGTACATTTTAAGTTAGGTTTCCTGTTTTGTTTCATTTTATTGTTCATTTGTTGGATAATGTTTACCTTACTGAAACGCCACATTTAAAAATCACAGCAAAGTCCTTGCAGCTTTTGCTTTCTAGAGCTGCATTCAGAAAAGCAGCAAGAGAGGTACACATAAGGAGTTAAAAATGTGATTTTCTGGACAGACAACTTTCTCCATTTTTCACCCAAGAAGAAAAGAGAGTACATGGGGCCATGCAAGCAACAAAAGGAGAGATGCAGTTCCCCAAGCACTGTCAAAACATCTCTCCTGTATGAAACAACCTTCTGAGTCTAAACTTGGGCAAAATCAGAAAGGAACTTCTCCTCATTGAAGGTATTAAAAAAAAAAAGTCTTCATTGTACACCATGAAGTTAAGTGCAGAATTAAGGAAGGGGCTTCTCCATCTGCACTGGTTCTGCTGCTTTCAGCTGAGACCTACAGAGTCCCCTGTAAAAGGTGTCCAGCCCAAGAAGTTGTTGGGAACACAGAAACAGGGTCCAAGTGAGTGCTTGGCTTCTCCTTGGCAGCCCCTACACTGGCTGTGGTAGGGTGTGTGGTGTCTCACTCCAGCCCACTCATCACTAGCCCCCAGCTGCACTCATGCTTCTTTCTGCCTTAGCTGACACTGGTCCCCCATCTGCACCTATTGAATTGTTGCCACACTCATTGATTTGGAAGGACTATAAGATTTGAAACACAAGGCTATATGTAGCAAACAGTAACAAAGAACGGATGTTCATCAACTGCTTTTCAGGCACACTAAGTATTTTGGCGGGTTACTTGGTTCCAGTGTTTCCCACCACCAAAAAATACTATGCTATATCTAGATGTTGTTAGTCTTTGCTCCTGGCATGGCACACAGTCATTATACGGTTTTGTCAGAAAGATATACACTTTAGGAAATACAACTTTGTAAATTACTTCAATTGGGATGAGTCACTTAAACTCACACATAACCTTTAAAAATATTTAAACTGACTTTACTGTCTATTACCACCAGATGTCACTGATAATACTAAGCAAAACACTTTTACCTGTGGTTAAAGCCTTTCCTCAAAGGCAGGTTTGCATACCCACCTATTTATTGACAACAGTTTGCACTGTGGCCACAAGTGATTGACTTTGCAGGCGTTACTTTAGCATTTGTCATGCAGACCTTATTCAGTGTAAAGCCATCCTTGCATTGTTCCTGCTTAGCATGCATTTTGGGTTGTGTAATATTTTTTCCAGAATCTCTCTAGGTTGTATGGACATAGGCTTAGGGACTGGGCTTCCCCAAATGTACAGCTGTGGGAGTGACCAGGAGACCAGTGTCAGGCTTACTGATGCAACCTGGCAAGGTACCAAAAAACACACTTTCCATAGCTTAAGGTAAAAATAAAAAAACTGAAAACTGAAACGGTAATAAAATTCTACCGTCTGACTTGTACCAAAATTGTTCTAGCAGGCAACAGAGGATTAGGATCATCTTTATGGAGACAATCATGGAGCTTGACGTGGCTGATATAGAGGGGATGCCAGCAGCCACCCTCACCCTCTCGTCCTGGGGAGATGGAGCAGACAGACCCATCCAGGATGGGCCTGGGGGCCAGCAGGGAGCTGGTAAATGACTAACAGGAAAGCTAGCATCACATTTGCCTCTTCTGTCCTGACAGAGTCTCGCGTGGGCGTCTCAGTGGAGCAAAGGTTGCTGTCCCTGAAGGTCTTCAGGTTCAGACTGTTGTCTGCCATGTGTGCTGACCCAGGAGGGCAGATCCCAGTCTGAGAGTGGGATGTCAGGAATGACACCTGGAGATTCAAGGACCTGCTCCACATTCCATACCCTCAAAAGGGTCCACTGGACCTCACTGGAACACTTATATTTGTGGCTTCAAAAGCAGACCCTGCCTTCTGTCCATCCTGGGCTAGGACATCCAGTGATAATCAAGACAGCTATTGCTTGCATGGAAATATGCCCTTGGAAAGTGACAGGTATTTGCCTCTCTATAGGTGGCTGAAAATCTGAAGTAATGAGATGCAACCACCAACAAATCCACTCAGTGGTTTGAAGATGAGCAGATTTGAATGTGTTAATGTGTCTATATTCAGATGCTTTGAGGTCAAAATTAGGCTAGCACACCACAGACACGTTCTAAAGATGTAATATTCCTCTGTAAACTCTGGGGTTTATGTCACAGTAATTTAAGGGCTATATTTTTTATTTACCATTCATTCCTAAAAGTATCAAAATATATGTCATCTCTCTGAAACTAAAATTGTCCATGCTCACTCCACCTGCCTGTTAGTATTTGAGAACAATTGCTCTGTTTCTTTTGGTGACATTCAAGATGGAAGTCAAAGGCTGGCAGTGAAAATTTGGTTTAATTATTGAAGTCAATAGGAGCAGGGCTTTACACCAGTTTTGTTTTCATGAGAATGGAAACTCCTTTCATGACTTCATATAAATCAGTCTTATTATGGTTTATTTTATCTGGCTTAAAATAATTAAAGAGGACATTAAGGTGTGGCATGTGAGAACTGTAAATGTTTTAGTTTCTTTGGTGGAATATTAAATGTCAATTTTAGGGATTGCTCATTAGTGGATATCTTGTCATACCTTTACAAGAGACTCAGCATCACTAAGAGGTTTGCTATGGTTATTTGCAAAAAGATGCGAGCAACTGAATGCTGACTTTAATATTTATTTTGGAAATTGTCCAAGGGGAAAGTAGTACACTGGAAGATTTTTATTTCTGCCACTTCTACTTTGTGTTTTATTAGCTGGAAAATTTAGTTAGATGGTGTTGAATTGTTGTATTTAAATTGTCTGTGACATTATTTTTATTCTTAAATTGCTGTAAGAAAAAATAATTAATTATATCCATTGTAATAATTCAGTAATATTGGTTTATGAAAGGTCAAGAACACATTCAAGAGAAATTCCAAGGCTTCTACATCACAGCTAATCTTCACATAACACTAAAAAAGCTGTTCAGAAAGTCCCTATCCTCACTTACCTGAAGTGATACCTGAAGTGTACAAGTAGAAAAAATAAAGCACGTTTGGTCATATCTAGAAAGACAGGCTCCTGACTTCATACAATTTTTTTTTAAGTATAAGGTGAAGAGTTTGTTTGGATTTTTATGCTGTGAAATTGTCAAGAGACTACAAGGTCAGCCTAATGTGTTTTAGCTAATGTTGCTTGGGATTTCACCCTCCACCTGCTGTAGTATGGATACAGGGCACTTATGGAAAGTTACGTGACAACTTACATGTAGATATTTTTCCTGTAGCATCATTCATATGAGAGTGCCATTTTTACTTCATTAGACTTTACAAATACATCCGAGCCTGTAAATCATACCCACATTTTAAAATCTGCCCTCAAAAAAATGTAGCATGAAAATATTACTATTGCATAGAAACTGTCTTACAATAAATTTGCAGAATATATTAGAACAGGGGAGCCAATTCTATTAGCCCCAATATATGGGGCAATCTGTGTTCTTTTGTCAACAGCTAATGATTGTGTTTGATAAAAAACCTTATAAACCTATTTCCATGCCCCCTAAATAAAATATTTGTTTAATGATAACAGCAGCATGGGCACTCGGAATGCTTATTTATTGAAAAATATTTCCTTGCATGGATAAGGTGTACCCAAGTTTAAAAGAAAATTATTCTAATGACCATTCCCAAAACACTTTTTGCAAGCGACTCTTAGCTGGTGGAAGGACATGACTGCTCTGAAGTCAGCCCAGCAGTCACATTCCTTTGGCTGAATGGGAATTATTTAAGTTTGCTCTAACTTAAAGATAGCAGTAGCAACAGAATTTACTTAGGAGCCAGACAGGCTCCTATGCCAATAAAATTGCACTGCACTGACCCAGAAAGGGCATCTTGCTAGTAGACAGATCAGTGGTTGGGCAGGTTCTGCTGCATTTCCTTCCACATGCACTAAAACATTTGCACAAAGCAGCATTAGAAATGTGTAGCAGGGACAAACTGACATATGGGAAGGGAGCTGGTCGGAAATGAGAGGTAGAAGAGTTGTGTACCTGACAGAGTGACAACTGACCCTTGGGTCTCTGCTGTGTAGCAGTGGCAAGTGAATGTCTTGAGGCTGGAGAAGTGAAGTTACTCCAGGGTGACCAACCTTCATGCTCCTGTAAGCTGCCAAAACCCTCATATGGCCAAAGGTTAAGGAAGAGAAAGCTCCAGCTTGGGTTTACCTGATCCCCATGGGACCATGTTTTCCATGGGGCTGGGGAGTCATCTCTGCCAACATACTTCTTCTCAGAGGTGGTGCCTGAGGTCACCTGGCAGACTCTGTGCCTGCACAACCCACTGCTCATCGTGTGAGTCCACTCCAGCCTGGGAACCACACCTGTCCTGCCCAAGGATCCACTGCTGGACACCCCTGCTC